CCTTTGTTTTGTTTCTCCTCCTCTTCCTCCTTCTTGAAGCAGGTCTTAGAATATTTCTGTAATACTGGTTTGATGGTAGCAAACTCCTTTAGCTTTTTATCTGGAAAGCTGTTTATTTCTCCTTCAACTTTAAATGATATGTCGCTGGATGAATTAGTCTTTGTATGTGGCTAGGTAAAGTAGTCTTTGTTGTAAGTTGTTCCCTTTCATCACTTTGAATATTTCATGCCAATCCCTCTGGCCTGAAATGTTGAGGAAATCAACAGTCTTTTCTTTTTTTTTTAAGATTTTTAGAGGGGAAGGGAAGGAGAGAAGGAGAGAAATATCAGTGTATGGTTGCTTCTGGTGCATCCCCTACTGGGAACTGGCCCCTGCTGGGAACTGGCCTGCAACCCAGGCATGTGCCCTGACTGGGAATCAAACCACGATCGTCTGCTTTGCAGGCCGACGCTCAATCCACTGAGCTACACCAGCCAGGGCTTAGCTAACAGTCTTATGGGAGCTCCATTGTAGGTAACTGTATTTCTTCTGTGGCTTTTACAATTCTGTTTTGTTGTTTTTTTTTTTAAACATATGCTAGTATAATTATAATGTATCATATTATGGGCACCTTTGGTTCCATCTTATTTGGGACTCTCTGTGCTTCTGGTTTGTGTGTCTTTTTCCTTCACCAGCTTGGGAAGTTTTTCATCATTCTTCAAATTGGTTCTTGATCAGTAGCTCTCTCTTCTTCTTGTATCCCTATGATGTGGATGTTGTTATGCTTCATATTGTCTCATGGGTTCCTTAAACCATCCATTTTAATTTGTTTTCTTTTTACTGCTTTGATTGGGTGTTTTTTATACCTTGTCTTCCAAATTGTTGATTCCATCATCATCTTTATCCAACCTACTGTTTATTTCCACTGTATTTTTCTTGTCAGGTATTGTATTCTTTATTTCTGATTTTTTAAATGTTTTTATGTCCTTTTTATTGTTGAGCATACTATAACCATGACTTTGAAGCTTATAGCTGATAAATTGCTTCCCTCCATTTCATTTAGCATTTTTTTTGGTAAATTTCTTCTGTTCTTTCATTTGGGATGTTTCATTTTCTCCCCATTTAGTTGTCTCTTTTGTGTTTGTTTCTATGTATTAGATCTGCTATGACTCCCATTCTTGTTGGGGTGCCCTTACATAATAGGTGTCCTATAGGACCCAGTGATCCAGTCTCCTTAATTACCTGTGCTAGGTACTCTAGGAATGTCCCTTGTGTGGGTTATGTGGTTCCTCCTGTTATAACTGTATCTTCATTGATATCGGCATTTCATTTAGGTGATCCAGCCTTAGGCTGGCTGGCTATGTGGCTCACCCCTGACCATGGTTTTTGAACTGCTGCGCAGGTGCTAACCACATGAATCAGAATTTGCCTCAGCAAGGTTTGGCGCCTGCTGAGATCTCTGGATAAGTGGCTTGTGAAGCTTTATTGGATCTTGCTGTGGTGTTTTCTGAAGCTTGCCATTGGGTGTGTTTGCAGTCGGTGTTTTTGAAGAGACTGTTGTAAGACATTGTAAGTTGCCACCTGTGACTTTGGCAACTGGCCCTTGGCAACCTGTTTGGAGCTACAAGCAAGCCACAGTTTGTGCCTCTGCTGGGCCTGGGTGCACATAGGAAGGACCAACTGCGTACCAAAGCTGCTTTTACCAGCACCAGGCATGGGGGCTGGTCAGTGAAAGTTTCAAGACATCCCAACAAGGTTCACTTCTACCTGCCTCTTCCACCTGCTAGCTTCGTGTTAATCTCAGTCATGAAAGAGTCTCTGGGTATACCCCTCAGTAGGGTGAAAGTTCCACAGTGTGTGGTGAGACAGTCCAAAAGGTGGGGTCCATTGTTTTCCTGCAGGGTGATTCTGTCGGAGTGGGGTAGTCCACCCAAGAAAAATGGTGTTTGCATTTTGGGAAAATGATTTCAGCACAGGGATCCTGGCAGCTGTTCCTTGAGCTCCCTCCCCAGAGCCACAACCCCCAGGCTAGCCTCAAACAACTCTAGTTTGCTCTGTGCTCTCTCTACTAGAGCACAGGGTGAGTGGCTGAAATTTTGTTCATTGGCCTTTTATGAGAGTACTTGTGTCTAACAGACCTTTGCTTCTCCCTGGCAATCAGAAACCTAGCTGCTTTTCTCAGCCAGGTGTTACATGGGCACATCTTTTTAGATCTGGTGCTCCCAGCTGGGGAGCTTGGCTAGCCCCCCCCCCCCCCCCCCCCCACTTCTCAAGTATAAACCCCTTGCAGCTGAGATATGCCTCCTGAACTTCAGCTACCCCACCACCTATGGGAGCACGCCAGCCCTTTTGTGTCTCAGCTCTTCCTGCCAGTCTTAATGTGGCTTCTTCTATAAATCCTTGGTTATAAGACCTCTCTAGCTAGTCTTCAGTTGTTTACTCAGGATTATTGTTCTCTAATTTAAAATGGCAGTTCGGTCTTGGGAGGAGGTAAGGTAACTTCCACCTACTCTGCCAGCATCTTGGATTTACAGCACTCATACAGTTCTTTCTTGCTTTTTAAAATTTAATTAATTTTATTTGCATGCAAAGACATGCACGCTGATTTTAGAGAAAGAGGAAGGGAGGTAGAGACAGAAATACTGATGTGAGAGAAATAGCCATCCATTGCCTCTCACATTCGCCCCAACCTGGGACTGAACCACAACCTAGGCATGTGCCATGACCAGAAATCAAACCATGATATTTCAGTTGACAAGACAGCACTCCAACAATGAGCCACGCTGGCCAGGGCTCATTTACATTTTTACTCTCAAATCTCTCTGTTCTTTCATCTGATTCCTAGATTTCTGTCTTCAGCATCACTACTTCTTTTCTAGTGGTGTTTCTTCTGACATGGTCAGCTCTATTTCTTGGATTGCCAGTTTATTTTTTTATCTCTATAATTTCTGTTTGGCTTTTTTTCCTATACTTTTAATCTCTTTGATAAATTACTCCTTTTGTTCATTTATTGTATTTCTGAGTTCATTAAACTCAGTTTTCATGTATTGTTGAGTTTCCCTTTTTTTTTTTTTTGAACTTTCATCTTTGTCATTTCTGGAGATTTTTTATTTTCCTTTTAAGCTACTTTGTTACTTTGGTTATTCATTGTATTTTATTATTTCTATGCCTAGACACTTGTGGGAATAAAGTATGCTTTTAAAAAATATGTTCGACCCCTCACTGTTTAGTACATTGATAAATAGAGGCCTTTCTTTTGAGTATGTATTGCTGAAGCATAAGCCACAGTTGCTGCTTCCCCTCAGCCTCCCAGACCTCACATCAGCCCCCAGCAGACTCTGTAGCAGTGGAAATGTTGATACCAGCACACTCTTCACAGCCCTGAGGACTGGAAGGGCAGAAATATTTCTCCCTGAGCAGCCAACACACACTGCAATTCAACCCAGTGACAGAGGCTGCTGGGGCTTCTGGGATCTTACCTGAATTACTAGGGCTTCTGGGATAGTCTTGGGGCAGTATTGCCTTCCCTGTGTAATATGACATGTATTCCTTGGGGAGGTGGGCATCCTTAGCTTGGGCACCATCCCCGTTGAGAATTACAGTGAGCAGTGGTTCTCTGGGCCTGTGACATCTCTGCTGCCTCCTGCAACTAGATACTTCTAGCAGTGTCGTACTGTCTGAAGTTTCCCAGGGCCTCCACCAGGCTCCGTTGCAATTGGTGGCAGTTGTGTGGGTGGGTGGGGAATAGTTCTTATATTTGCTGTCCTCCTGATAATGGTATCTGCCAGACCTCAGTTGCTACATTTGTGTCACTGTCACTGGGTTATACCATGGAATGCACCTGCCCTTTAGAGAGATCTTTCTGTCCCTCTAGTCCTCAGGGCTGCAGAGAGCACATTTACTGTAACCCAACACCTCCACCCCCAACACCTCCACTGCTATAGCACTGCCACTCTTAGCTCTGGGAGCGTGAGGGGAGATAGCTATGTGTCTGTGCTTTTGTTTTCTGCCTGGTAATAGCCAATGGTGGACCACAGCTTACACCCTTTTGCATTTTGTCTCTGGCCCTTTTACAAGGTGTAGTTAGCTGTAGTGTGTACTGATTACTCAGGAGGAATGTTGATTGTATTCTGTTCTTAGAGCTCAGATTATCTGTGCTGTAACCCAACACTCCCCCTGCTACTGAGTCTTCTGGGGCCATAGTGAGCTCTGGGCTGAATCTTTGGTACCTGTGTCTGGCCTTCCTTTTTCCCTCTTCCCCCATTTCCTGATACACACCCACCTTCAGATGTTTCAATGCATGGATCTCTCAGATGTATTTCTGTGTTGAGCAGGGAATCCTCTTTTGCATTGTTGCTGTCAATTTTGTTGAAATGCAAAGGGAAGAGACCTAGGGTTCCTCATGCTGCCATGCTGCTGGTGTCCCTCCTGTATTTTCACATTTCAAACCTACTTTTAAAAACATCAAAAAGTCATCTTTGAAGTTGTAATTGTCTCATTAAAGTTGAATAGACAGTATAAAAACTATTATAACATCTTTAAGTTATAACAGGGAAGCTTTACATTAAGGAATAATCAGTGCTCATTTATTTAAAAAAATACACCATCTATCAACTATATTTCATATAAGAATTTGAGTTTCACTGTGGTGAGTCAAGGGAAGCCAGCTTGTAATGTATTTATCTTGTTTTTCTTAAGATAGATTGAAAGGAAACGTGAATTTCTAGTAGATGCTTAGTATTGGAAGATAGGAAAATAGAGTAGCATTTTACATAATGTGACTGCATTGTAGTGTAGTTCAAAGACTAGACGTGAGCTCTAGTCCCAGTTTTTCTACTAATTCAAACTCAGTGTTCTTTATCCTGTTTTCCTGTGAAAATTAGGTTAGACCAGATGGTTTATGACCCCTTGTGCAGCATGAATACTCTAAGAATATTCAAGTATAAGCAACACTCTTGTTCATAATTATTTGTTCATTATTTTGCCTCTTCTTACAATGCTTTTTGTTTGTTTTTTCATAGAACAACATAGATGTTTGTCCTGAATGTGGTCACCTGAAACAGAAACATGTCCTTTGTGGCTGTTGCTATGAGAAGGTGTGCAAAGAGACTGCAGAAATAAGAAGACAGATAGGGAAACAAGAAGGGGGCCCTTTTAAAGCTCCTACGGTAGAATCCATGGTGCTATACATAGGAGAGACACCATCTGAACAAGATCAAGGCAAGAGGATCATTGAACAAGACAGGAAGCGACCATCCTGGTTCACTCAGAATTGACACCAGAGATGTTTAAACAGTATAACTTAACATAAAACATTTCTCTTGGAAAAAATGATTCTTTGTTTTCAGTGTTTTGTGCCTATTTTAAAATTATCAGTGTGACTTAAAACATTCTTCATAAGCAGTTAGTTTTATGCAGATAATTTGAAAATAGGAATAAAATCTAAAAATGTTTATGTAGATGTTCAGTGAATTTACATGTCTGTTTTTATTATAAGGTTTTAAGTATATATTAAATGTCTAGGACAAAGCAATAAAATAATTTAAAATTCATACCAAGAGATATGTGTTTGGCCCTGATTTTGTTTGTTTGCCAGTGGTTTTTCTTAAACCAGAATAATTACACATATACTTTTAAGTAACATCTAGAAATAGGTTATTAGTTTAATTCTGGATATTTTTTAAGTTTGTAATTCTAGCAGTAAGAAAAGGTTTGAGTTTGTAATTTTAAAGTAAAATTGCCTTTGGAACTTACCTGAGACATATGTTAATTTACTCAGATAAAAATACATTCTACATTAAGTCAGAATGACATTTGAAATTCATTAAACAGCTCATGAGATTTGTAATTCATTGCTTTGGGAGTGAGACTTTTAAAAGGAGATGTGAGTGAATTCAGTAGTGCATAGAAAATGTGCTAAGGATGTTGCCGTTGCCTTTGCATTTTCCTTTTAGTTTATTTTTTATCGTTTTCTTGTCTCTTTATATCAATGGCCTTTCCAACTTAAAGCAAATCATTTAATATTTGTCTCTCCCTATTTCTACCCTGAGCCCAAGTTTTAATATTTTGTTTCCTGTCTCATTCAAACATAAATAAAAGGTAGCTTATTAAAACACAGAGATAAGTAAGGTATTATGGTTGGGTGGAAAATCAGGAGAAAAGATAAAGTCCAGAGACATAGTTAAAACAGAATACATACTACAATAGACTAAACCATTATAATTAGGCAGCAAATTTAACATTGAAATTTCTTTTCTTTGGAAAGTATTTACATTAATAAGTTTTCTACAAGGTAAGACACAACGCAAAAGTGCATCTCTGCTTTGGTACTCAGGCCTGACAGACCATTCTCCCAAGATACTTTATAATAAGGATTATGTGAAGGGGTAATCCATATTATTCCTAGAAGTTAAATAACCAATTTCATAAGATACAGTAAGTCCAACAATAGGTTGAAATGCAATTCAGTCAAAGCAAATTCTCCTAACAAAGTATTGGAATCTCAGTAAATAACACTTTTAAGACTTGGATTTATCTGAGCATTAAATTGAGTTCCTGGAGGAATTATTTGAATAGACTTATTAAGGCACTACTCTGCATATAATATTTCTTACTCTGACAAGCCTTAAAAATGAATAATTATTTCTTAGTCTCTGACGAGCCTTAAAAATGTTATGTGTTCCATTTAAGGTACATAGTATACTCGAGGTAAAAATAATTCAAAAAAGCTAATTCTAACTAAGTATGTACCTGAATTTATTTCACTGCCTACTCAGCACCTCAGGTGACTACCTGGTTGCAAAGTATACACCTACATTTGCTATCTTTGTATTTTGAATAGCTGTAGGGTGTATATGCAGGTAGACCTAATAAGAATGTGCAGACAGAGAATACAACTAATAAGAATAAAACTTGTTTGCTATTCATGAACAGATAAATGTTATAAAGTGTGTCCCCAAATAGCAAAACCAGATGTCTAGTTCATGTCAGAAAGCTGTCATAAAGGAGAGAGTACTTAGCATTCTTAGCACTTTCTTTGAAGAGGCTGTCCCCTCAAAGTTATTTTTATAATTAATACATTTTATCATTTGATACCTCCAGGTTTTATTGTCAGATGAAAAAGCATCAAATTTGAATTAAGTCATTTATACCACTGATTTGTATACATTCTGAACATTAGAAGTGAACTCCATCTTTTCTTAACCCCTCCAATATCAGGATGTTGAGGCACTAGGGCACTTTTGAAAGGCGGTATTTGTTTTTCCCTTAACCAGTTTTTGGTCACCAGCTTCTGAAAATCTGAAGTGTCTGACTTTAGTCCACCTCCCTCATCCTAACCCTAATAATCATCTCTTTCCTGAGATGTTAAAGTGTACTTTTCAAATACTTCCCAGTCTCATATTCCTAATTGATTTTATTTAATAGTTTCTTTTGTTATTTATAAGATTACTAGAGCAATACAAAGAATATCAGCAAAAGGTTAATCAGTTTTTTACAACCATACCTACCATATTCCATCGTCTATATGCTTCTAAATGCCACGCTACTGCACCGTTTGTAATTATGTAACTCACTCCCCTGATCAAAACCAGGATCCAAATTAAACCTCTTGTGTCCTCATAATCTATTCAAGTCTTTGTGCCCACTTCCTACCACTGTGTAGTATGTACACAACTCTCAGACTGTTGTGTACAAATGTAGCAGAGATTGTTGAGCACCTCAGAGTGCATCACTCCTCTCCCACTGTCATCACTAGGCTTTGAAAGAAAGGGGTCAGGCCAAATCACCTAGAGAAGGCAGGGGGAAGGGAGAAAAACCCCAAGGTAGAACTGAAGATTAAAAGGGGTTTGCCCTGCCTGGGGGAAGGGCCACTAGAAGAAAACTATTGCCCAAGCAGGCAAGCAGCTCTTGACTCAGGAGAAGGGAGCTTGTACAGAGCATGCGTGATTCAAGACTGCCCCCTTACCTTAACACAGTGCCAGAAGAGGGGCAAAGGTAAACGTGGCCGATGATTTCCCTCATTGGTTGAAAAGGTGGATACTTACACTGGCTTCCAGCGCATGTGGGATCTTGAGAGAGGACTTTAAAAACAAAGGGAGGCAGAAGTTCCTCTTGCTTTTGCCCCTTACAGCTGGAAACAGCAGATCTTGGGACAGCTCAGGTTTTAGGCCTTGTACGGTTGGAAGCCAGCTGTAGGAGGCAGGGTTTCACACTGGTGAGGAGTGTGAAGGAGTGAGGAGTGCCTCACTGGATGCCAGCCGCTGGATGCCAGCCCTTGGGACACTACAGCACTGCAGCACAGTCCATGGGTCCTGGACTGCTTCCACTCACCCAGAGAGCAGCGTATGGAGACTAAGCAGCACATAGATGAGAGCTGCTGAGAGGCAATGGTGACTCTGGCTCCAGAGAGAGAGGGGCTGGAGCTGGAGAGAGGGAGACCTGTTGGTGTTACAACCTTGGGTTACAGATAAGCAATAATGGGGAACTTCTGGACACATATTTGGTCTTTAATCTTCCTGGGTGTGGCTGGTTTTCTGTGTTTTGCAGGAGTCTGCTTAGTCAGCTCAGAACAGGAATGCTCTAAGACCCCTCATAGGAACCCTGTTAATAAAATCTTACTCCTTTCTCCACAAATCTTCGTATAATGTATAAACATGGAGACAAGTATCTGTACTGAATGCTTCACTGTGTTCTACTATGGTGGATCCTGGCCTGCAGGATGTTGTGGCTGCTAGGGAACAAATACACACAGACTATGGAAGTCCTGTGGATAACAAGAAATAGCATGGCCACTCTCTGAGACAGAGGGGGCTAGAGGGCCAGAGGCCCCAGTCCCTGCCTGGACAGGCTTTTATTGCCTTTCTGAGTACATTACATGGAGAGGAGTCCTCATTTACTATGCACAGGTTCATTGCAGGGGATTACCTTCTACAGATGACAAAGAAAAGAATGTGGCTAATTACTTCAAAGAGAAGGATGTTGCAGACCAAGGGGAAGAGTGGTTGATCCACTCACACTCCACACTTGGGAGGTTTTTTAGCTCAGATTTTAGGAAGTTGCAGTAACCCCTTCTGCCTCAATTCAGGGTGAGGGAGTTTTAGCAAAAGCAAGTCTCATAGCAGTCTAGGTACAATGCAGGCCTGATTCCCCATGGGAAAATCTCTCTGTGGGTGTGGTCCTGCATGCCACTCGCTCCCCACTGGTTTTCCACATGAGTGCTGAGCTACATTTCCACCCCACACGAAGCAGTTCCCTACATTTTACCTCAGTGGGTCTTCCTTTCAGACTCCCTTACTAATTCCTTCTCTTCTCCCAAACTCTTAACTTTCTAGTGCCCAACTCTTCATCCCTGGTGGTTGCAGCCAGTCTTAGCGTAACCAGAAAAGACACCAGCGTTTGGGCTGCCTGTCACTACCAAACCCAATAAGCAATGACAGCGATTGATCTTTTATGGATGCTTTATTCAGATGGCCAGTGATCTGAGAAGATGGTGGGTTCATACCCTAACAGACCATCTTGTCTTTTCTTTCCAGGCCAGACTTTTAATAAGGGAAGGGGAGGAGGGATAAACAAGGTGCAGTGAGGGCTTTGAGAATCAGAAGCTGCAACATTCCTGTCCTGAGCAGTTAGTTGTTCCCAGAGGAAGGTGGTCTGCTCTCCCTGGAACACAAAGGCCTGGATGCCTCCAACTTGTCCCCAGGTGGTAATCTCTAGCAGTACCCCAGGAGGCCGGCTGTTTTCCCATGGGCCAGGATGGGCCTTATTTGTAGTTTCTGAAACAAAAGCTTTAACACACACATTACTTGCTAGACTTATATATATTTTTTACCTTAAGCTAAAATTTTCCAAGTCTTGATCCCCTATCATTATGGCTTTGAGATAGCACCTACATGTTGAGGACTTCCAATTTGGTATTTCTGATAGGGCCCCTGAACTCCAAAGTCATATTCAACTGCCAGCTTGGAATCTCCAGTCAAATGTCTGACAGATAACTCATTAATCTCAATATCTTTAAGTCAGAATCCCATCTCTCCAAGTCCTACTATTTCCCCACTCCTCAGTTCTCTTTCCTGGATGGCATTGGGAAGATCGCCTCAGCTCTGCTATAATGCAAGGTGGTGACACTGTGGTCTCTCTACTACTCCCTCCACTGGTCTTCAGCCTTGGGCCTACCTGTTCCTGCTTTGATGTTTATGAACCCTGCACCTCCCAGGCCTTCTTTCACTATCCCAGTAGCTCATGGTTCCTGACCAGATCTACAGCCACCCCAACTTCATACAGCCAGCAATGTTGGGCTGGGCAGCAGTGGTGGTCTACCTAGAAAACCTGGGCCATTGTTTCACAGGCTCCTTGCAGGCAGGCCAGTTCTTGCATACTCCTGCTTACTCCCCACACTCTCCTCTGTGTAACCTCTCACTTACAGATGTTTTCACTCACCACTCTGTGTTCTGACTTCAAATCTGGTCCATGTCTGAGAGCAGATGAATAGAGCTGCCCACTACTGTGCTGCCATCTTCCCTCTGTTGATGTGTCACCCAGATGGACTTCTTAATGAGGCCC